ATATTAATCAGTAATCTACAATGAAACTGACTAAGAGCAAATTATAATCAATGAATAGTTTATGAATTACTTACATTTATAACAAATGCCAATGTCTGAAACTGTTCTAATGCCATTGCTTCAGCATAAAGCGGTTCTTGGCAAAGTTTCAATATACATGAAGCAGCCATATATCTTAACCAAGACTTTTCCATGGGGCTGGAAAAAAATAATTTCTTGATATTACAGTCAATTTACACAGTTCTTTATGTTATGTAATCAAGATTTTTAAAATAAATGGGCTATATTGTGTTTTAACAAATAAATTTTCACTCAAATAATTTTTTTACTTATAGAAGCTTGCTTAGTTAAGTTTTAATAATATGGTATAAAATATAAAAAGAAGCAATCAACTATATTTAATATTCCATAATTGATTTTATCCTATTGATAAAATTAAAAAAAACCATTAAATTTTCCTTGATAAATATTCTGTATCTCTTATCTTACTTCAAGAAAAACTCAAATATAATAGCAAAATCACAACTTCTGCTTACACTACCTAGACTTCCATCTGATTTTTGCTTCCAGTACTATTAATTTAGATATAACCAATATATTATATGTAAATTAATCCAGACATAATCTAAATTAATATCTAACCCACACTACATATGGGTTATGAAATCTGGATTGTGTAATCAGTAACATGTCTGCATGGTAAGCAAGTTCAAGTCTTGCACCAGGCAGATTCTTTTCTTCCAGAAATTTCTAAATTAAGAATTAGTTTATTATAATTATTAAAATTAATATTATACAGAGGTATATCCACCTTCCTATAGTCAAATTAATTGGTAACTAATTATTAACGTAGCCTGAAAATAGCTGATAATCTGACAGATTGTTTGATTTTAAAAAAACTCAAATTTAAAATTTTTCTTACATAAAGTAAATAAGTTTTGCAATGTGAAATAACATAAATCCACTCAAAAATACATAATCAATTTAATGTAAATTAACTTCTAAATTATTTTCAATACTCTTATAATTTCATTAGTACTGAATATATTGCATGAGAAAGTATAGGTTTTAACACATCAAACATTGTGCTGGAATAGAGAAAGGTGTTTGTTTATTTTATTTTGTATAGGTTATCTTTTAAAATCTATATGGACTGTATTAAACAGATTTGCTTTAAGAAATACCATAACAAACATAATAAAAATATACTCACGAAACATGTCCTTTTTCCATAAGATCACCATGATGCAAGATTACACTTGTTAATAAACGAAGAGTTGAAGTTGCAGATGGTACTGCTGTTTTCAATCCCAACAACCATCTAACCATTACTTTCATCCCTTCAATCTGTAAATGAAAATTATTTTATTCAATAACAAAACAATATTTAAATTTTTCATAAAAAGAAATGAAGTTCAAAAACTTCAAAACAAAAAGAAATGTTTAAAATTATGAAATTAAATTTGGACTCCAGTCAATGTATTTCAAAATAAATAACAAATCCAGAAAAAAAAAAACAGAACTAAGTTAAACATTATAAATAACTTTAACCATAAGTCTTATAAGTATAGCTAGCCAAAAATTAAGTAATGATTATTTATTTGCATTTTATTAATTCCACAATGATTATTTAGATATATCAAATATAAAAGTCAAATATCTGAAAATTAAACATTTTTAAGAGTGTTTAATTTTCAGATATTTCACTTTTTGACAACTCATTCTTTTGTACACAATACTATAATATACAAAAATTACTTTTTTAATGGAAAATTCAGACTTTGCCATCTGAAAATATATAAAACAAAATTTTCAAGCTATCATGCAGCAATGCTTTCTGCCAGTTATTGTTTCATGTGAGGAGCTCCATGAAGTTGTTTGTAGCCTTGATATAAGTCTATGGTAATGCAGTCGACACTATTTTAGAGGAGCACTGACTGCTCAGGATGGCACAAGAGACAACATGTTGTATGTGGGGTGGTATGGCTACTGAGGCAAGAACCTAATTTTGACAGAGAACTGCTTATTAGAGAGAGATTAATTTTAATAATTTTCCACAGTCTTCCAAGAGGCACAAATTTAAATAAGTTTCAGTCCTCATAGGAATTGATTTGGCTTTTCCTTGAGAGTCCATTAAAATAGCTGATGTTGATGAGTAAAAATGGCAGTGAGATGTTGATGAAAGGACAGAAGCAGTACCTCTTTATGCAAAGAACTCGGCTGCCTTATTTCAATGAAACTCTGGTGTCAGGCTTCAGTCCATTGGCATATCAAGTGTCTGAAGGAAAATATGAGGAATGTGACTTCTGATGGCTGAGAATCTTTGTTGGATGAGTAGGCTGGTTGTCAGAATTATGAATGGAATCAGGATAAATCCCAGTGCCTATGAGAGGAAAAGTGGCCTGTTGAAGACGTAACCTCTCATAGGTAAGTCCTAAAGGAAATGAAGGAATCTTTGTAAATAACTAAAAGTATGGAACAAGAAAAGCTCTTGCAAGTAAGAATATTGAACCCATTGATTGAAATGAATGAACACCTGTAAGAAACTTTGAGAGCAACTCCGTGTCCTCGAGACATGGGATTTTAACAGTTTGGTCCTTTTGATTGCCAATTCTGATTGATCTAGTTCCCTATCTATACTTTTTGATTGGTCTCATGCCTGTGCTCATATAATTTGAGACCAACTCCAACTGCAGGAGAGGTCAACATCAATGTTTAATTCAATGCCAAATTCTAATCACAACTGGAGATGGTTGGACCTTAGGACTTACAGTGTTTCTCTGTTCCTCTGTCAAATAAATTTTAAATGAAAATACAGGGTGTCCCAAAAAAATATATATACACTTTAACAGCTGATAGCTCAACTGATGTTTTTTATTTCCATGTTAAACCCATTAAAATTAATAATGTAAGTCAAACTAAGCTTTGAACAAAGGAAATTCACACTAAAATGCTACTGAAAGTGTGAAAATGCAGTTTAGAAGGTTACATTCAAATTAAATGGCACAATTAACTGCCACAATTGCACCTACTGGGGACCTGATAATCTGCATGTTATGGTGGAACATCATGTTAATTTACCAGGATTTACAGTGTGGTGTGGTTTATCATCAAGAGTATTAATTGGACCAATCTTTTTTGACACTTCTGTAACTGGTCCTGTTTACCTGAACTTGCTGCAACAGTGTCATGCCAAGCATTAGAGGACTTAGAAGATGAGGAGTTTTATTTTCAGCAAGATGGGGCATCTCCACACTATCATCACGATGTTAAATCCCACATCAATGAGATCTTACCAAACAGGTGGATTGGATAAAGGAGTTTTGTAGAATACCCTCCACGTTCACCAGACCTCACACCATTAGATTTCTTTTTATGAGGATACTTAACAGACAAAGTCTATGTTATGAAACCTGCAACAGTCACTGAATTGAGAGCAGCCATTGAACGAGAATTTGAGCAAATACCAAATGAAATGTTTCATAATTTTTGTGATTCCATTGCTTCACATTGTCAGCAGTGCCTAGACTAAAACAGATGTCAGTTTAAAAACAGGTGTTGACAAAACAAATAATAATCTGTAGATTCTATTACATTTTGAAAATGAAATATATTTTAATAAACATTGACTTTATAAATGTTTAAAGTGTGTATACATTTTTTTGGGACACTCTGTATATATAAATTTTTATGAGGATTCAAACTATGTCCAGAGGTTCAGATTCAGCAACAGCAAACTCATTTGTGACAATAAATTTTTATTGCCTAATTTCTGTTTTGTTTAATCAGTGATTTTTATGTTTGAAATATTTTATGCATTAGAACATATCTAATGCATTTATTTCATATTTGTTCTTAAAAGTAGAAAGGTAGAACTTTCTTATCTTAATAAACATCAAGCTTAAGAATGGAAAATGATTAGGAAATCCAGAATCAATCTTTAGAAAGAAACCTGAAAATTTCCTGTTTATATTTGAATATGCATGTTTTTATTGCATTCTGCAAAACAAAATAAAAACACATTTCAGCCTTATAAATAGCTTATGAACTTATGATTAATCCAACAATTATATTGCTATAGCTTCTTTCCCTATTATAACTATGACTAGGTCAGTGTGATAAACCCTAAAAGTTTAATTGTGTAGTAACACAAAAATTGTAATAATTAATCTAACAATTTATTTTATTACTTTTATCACACAAATATCAAAATCAACTTTACAAATTAAAATGAAATAAAAATTCATATAAAATTAAAATAACTAAAAAACATATAATTAAAAATAAATACAATATCTAACCTTTACTTTGGTTTCTTCTGGCAATTCATCATATTTCACCCACAGTGCATCACCATGTCTACTGGGTTCCTAAAATTTAAATATAGAACAACTGTTATACAATAAAAAGTATAATATGATAAGAGGAATTTCTATACAAATGTATACAGAATGTTTTCCAAATTAATATTTTCAAGAGAGTATTGATATGATTTTAATATACAAACTTCATATAATATATAAGGTACTCAAAACAACACAGTTTTGAGTATCCTATGCATTATAATTTTTCCCATATAAAATAATCAGAAATAGATTCCTGAAAAATGTTTTTGAGCAGACTGTGTGATTTTTTGAAATTACTGACATTATGCAGATGATATCTGTAGGTGTATATATATATCCTCCAGGATTAAAAAATCAGTTGGTTCATCGTTTCTTAAGAAAATTTTTTTTTCAAATTTTCTCATTTAAATATATACTATCCATGGTTACTCACGACACCAACTCCTACATCCATGGTCAATAATCATGGAACTATATATATATATGTGGTATGGTGTATATATATACACACACACACACACACCATTCCAGGGTAAAGTTATAGCCAGCTGAGTGCCATATTGGGTGATTATCCTTTTATGATTATTTGACAATATATCATCACGAAATACGTTTTTAAACCAATCACTTGACGATTTATCTACAATTTAAAAAAGTACAATTTTTATGAAAATTCCATTCCTAGATGGCACTACAATTATGGTGTGTTATTCTATACACTTGTGTTTCATGTATTTGCTACCGATGGCACTTTATTTTTGAGTATATACAGTAGACCCCCTATAATGCGAGTTCCTATAACGTAGATTCCTATAACGCGGTGAAAAAAGTGCGACAATATTCGTATAAAGACGCTAAAAGGGACGCGTAAAACGTCATTGCCAACTCGTCATCGCGGACGAGCATCCAAACTACTTTCCGCCGTCCAGCGCCACGCTACAGAGAGTTTAGGC